ATTCGTGGACATGGTCTACGTTTTCCTACGTTTTCAATTTTCTCTGAAAAGTTTCTTCTCGAAAATGGCTTTTCCAGCAGTTCCTTAACTAAACAAGTGTCCTATTCTACCACAGTTTCCATTGCAAGTAGAACATTTATAACACTATAAGTCTATAACACTCGGGTAGCAGAAGCACCACAACACACACGAGGGGAAGAATGTAAACAACACGCACTACCCACGCAGACTACGTGGGTGGAGCCCCACGGCCTGGCGCATCATATCTGCCATTTCACCGTGGTTTGACTGTGACGTCAGCGAGTTGCACTCGCAGGCTTTCATCGAGGTGAAACAGCACCTACCGATGCGCTTGGGAGAGGAGCTAGCCCCGGCCGCGCTCCCTTACACAGTACTGTTACTAAGCGCTAGGCTGCATTTTAGAGTATAAATGTAAATTTTTTATTTAAGATGAATAAACAAACAAAAAGCTCTGAGCAGTGAGCGTGCACCGCATGCGTAGCATGCTCAGAGGATTCGCCACTGGTAGTTAGTATCCAGAACATCCCCAGTCAATCCAGCCGTTAGTGAGTACTGTACTGTAATTATGGAAGTGAGGCTAATTGATTACAGAGCCAGCCAAGCTGTTTCCTTGGGGAACTATCTACTTAACAGTAATAGGGTGTGTCATAGGAGGGAAGATCAGCTAAAACTAATGGCCCATCACTTTTTTGGTAGATTTTAGTGTATATAAACAGAAAATAATTTCAGTTTCAATATTTTGCAACCTTTTGCTAGGTAAATTTTAGCGTGAAATTTATCGAAAATCTAACGTACAGCTGCATTAGTGCATTACAATTAAATAGTGAACATTGCTTTCTGACTTCATTCTTTAACAACCCAACTAACAATATTTTTTTCTGTTTCAGATTCTGATGCATTTTTATAAGTTGATAATATTTGCGATGGCTGCTTGTGTCAGGACGAGGAACCAAAAATCCAGCCATCTCAGTCACTATCTTGGGTCTGAGAGAGAGCTCCTGAAGTCGGAGTTGCCTACATTGAAATTCTTTGAGATCACGGTGTTTTAATCAGGCAAATCAGTGAAAAGAACCAAAAGAACTTACACAAACAAAGACATTGCCAGTGATATGACCAAAGCTGTCTTGGCACAGTACACTGCCTAATGCTCAGTTCAAACCTCCAGTCATAACAATTCAGAAGAAGATTAGTGAGACTGCTAGCCAGTTGGGAAAAGGCAAAGATATCTCTCTTGGGAGAGGAAAACTTGCAGTTAAGGACTTAGCTTTTAGCAGCACCAACTGGACCAGTTATTTGACATAATTACTTGCAATTTGGTAATTTCTCTGTCCTGAGTTTTGATCACGATTGTGACTGTAAAATCGAGGCCCACATCTCCTGTATTTGCAAGCGTGAACTGAAGATTCCCTGTGATCCGAACTGGCATTTGTCAAAGCACAGAGACTGGCAGTATAGGGGCTCTCATGATTCTATGCAAGATATTCCGGAGTCCAAGAGACAGGAGGCTGCCACAGAGACACAGAAGAGGAGAAGAGTTGCCGAGGAAAAGAGACTTGAGAAGGCCCAGGGTGAGGTAAAAAAGGCCGATGATTGGAGTCAAGCTGATTCAGAGTTTAATGACTTCCCCCATGGCTGATCCGAGTGCTGACCAGGAGAATGGTGACTTTGTCCCTAACCCAGAAAATAATGATCCCAAACCTTCCAGGCATAACATTCGAAATAGGAAAGATATCCCGAGCATAGCTCTGGCCAGCATGCGACACCACACTGGTCTCAGAGAAACTGCAGAGATAGCAACAGCTGCCTGGATTGACGGTGGTTTGATAACACCTGATGATGTTCACCTGGTGATAGATCACAACAAAGTAAGGAGAGCTCAGGAGAAACTTGTCAGTAACCTAGAAGAGGAGTTTGATATTAAAGGGGATAAGAAATGGAATCAATTGTTTGTTCTTTGATGGGAGAAGGATGACACTAGAAGTGTTCATGAAAGTTGGAATTCCTGACAAGTTGTTAATTTCCCTGCCATGGTGAAGGAGGAACACTACTCCTGCTGCAGTGAACCAGAAGGAGGGGAAGTATTTGTGGCATTTCACTCCAGAGAAAGATGACATCAGGAAACCAGCTGAGATAGTGGCAGATAACATTGTGAACTGGCTCAGAGAGAGGAACGTAGACCAGACTCTGCAGGCCATTGGAGGGGACAGCACCAACACGAACACAGGGTGGCAAGGGGGGGTCATACAGAGGATAGAGCGGAAGATTGGGAGGAAGCTGGTCTGGATTGTTTGTGACCTCCACACCAACGAGTTGCCACTCAGACATCTGGTCCAGGAGCTGTATGGCAAGACTCTTTCAAACAACAGATGGTCTGGTCCTCTTGGCAAGATGCTGGACTCTGCCACTGAGTTAGAAATAAATCCGAGCTTTGAAAAAATCACAGTTGGCCCCAGGGCTGTGGAGTCGAAGACAAAACCTTCGACTCCGACTCCTCAAATTTTTATGCTTCCGACTCCGACTCCTTGGCCTATTTGTAACAACTATTTCTACCATCCTAATTGTAATTTGTATGTTGTAACCTGCGTAGGTAAAAAGTAAAACACCGTGGCTATACTGCTACAGCTTTATTAATGATCTGGATGATATTTAAGAACTACAAAAAGATGATAGGCTTGACTTTCAAAGTTTCAATCAAAAGAAAAATAAATTTATTAAGAATTCAAGATATTAACTAGAAAACACCATTTACATGTACAGTGAGTTCTGCTATAACGCGTGTTTTGATAACGCGAATTTGCTCTAACGCGATTTATGAATTCGGAACAATATTTGTATAACGCGATCGCTTGTTTGCTATAACGCGATTTTTGCTTACTATTTCTCCAATTTTGTGGTATTAACTGTGAATATGGTAAAGAAGAATATCTCCAAAAAGCATTCTGATGATAGAATTCCCGGTGATTATCGTAAAAGAAAGGATATAACACTTGAAGAGAAGCTTGATGTTATCAACCTCAAAATCACCCTTCTCCCCATCAAGTTACATTCATATTTTTTCAAGGTAAAGTGTTAAATTTACTGTATGATTTCATTATTAGATATGAATGTAACATTTATTTAGACTGTGCTATCCTTTGTGTTAGGCTAACTACTAAATTTTTTCGATTTCGAGTAATCTGCACCTAACCCTATTTTCTCCATAAGCCCTGTTATTTCTATTACGCGATTTTCTATAACACGATATTTTACAAGAACACAATTATCGCGTTATAGCAGAACTACCTGTATATCTAAAAGTTCGATCTCAGCATATGAATTTTGTTTAAGCTCATAATCTGATGTGGATCTAAATGATGATCCTACAATTCCTTTTAAAGTAAAGTTATATATTTATGTACATTAAAGAAATGAATACCTTATTAAGGAAAATGGATAAACCTTACATGATTAAGTTATTAAATTAAATTTGCCTTAATCTCACCAAAAACAGGTTGTAGCTAATTGTTTTGTAGCCGAGAGCCTCTGTGCAGTTTTCAACGAAATTTCAAATGGTAAAGAGACGACTATCGTCCAAAATTATAGTGCTATACTGTGCCTGCTACAATAAATTCATAATAATGCTTATAAAATGGAAATAAATTCTTTTAATAATTTAAGAAAATTAGTGGGATCAGTGGAATCACTGCAATGAATATGCCTGAGTTCATATATTTGTTCTTAGGAACAGAATAGCTTCAGTCGGAGTCGGAGTCTGGACAATTTTACCGACTCCGACTCCACAAGCCGAAATTTCCTCCGACTCCTCGACTCCGACTCCACAGCTCTGGTTGGCCCTCCACTCGTTGAGCTTGCACATACTGTCATTGACGACCTGAGTACTGACCAGTACTATGGTTACATGATTTGCAGTGCCATCAAAACTGGGGTCATGCCTGATAGACTTGCTTACCTGCAGATAGGTCCAGTCTCACATTCTAGGTGGCTCTAGCGGCTCTCGGTTCTGCAGAATTTGGAGTGGCTCATCATAAACTGAAAGGGAACCAGCTTCACAACCTGGGGCAGCGTGAGGTACCATGCGTGAGTGTCTACTTGCCAAGGTGGTTTAACACAAGGTCAGTCATGGATTCTCCAGAGACAAAGAGCATGTTCTCTTCCAGCTTGAGCTCCTGAGGAGTCAGCCAAGGAAGGTTGTTCAGATTGTGGAGCAGACTGTGAGGAAATCTTCCTAGGCGCTCTTTTCCTCCAGGCAGTTCTGCAGACAATGCTCTGCAGTAAGGATGAGGAGGAGAGAAGAGTGGCAGTCAAAAAGATCTTGGATATATGAGACTTATGAGGAGGATCTGGGCTTGGCGAATCCAGTTGGTGTGATTCCTTCAGGGTCAGGGAAGACTCCTGAAGTCAATCTAGGTGCCAAGACCCTCACTGATCTCATAGATCTGGATATGTAACATCCAGGTTGGCAGTGAGCCTCTTACCTGCAGCCTCACCAATGTTTCATGTCAGAGCTTTCCTGGACAACCCCATGCATGTCCCTGCCTGGCCCTCGCACACCCAGAGTATAGAGCGTTGTGTACAGCAAGTGAGCGAGGCCAGCAGTCACGTGTACAGCCAGGAGAGGAGGAAAGGCTACATCCGAGCTCAGGTGGTCAGCAGGGAGGTGATGAGTAGAAACAGAAGCAAGAAAGACATGTTCTCTATGGTGTGCAGCAACACCGGGTCGTAGTAGTAAAACCGGTTTTTTTATTTGATGATTTTGTTTTCCTAAAAGGAATGTAAATTTAATAAATGTGTCAAGATCTATTCGTTTCACTATTCTGAATCCTTTCATCCTAATAAATTCTTACAATACACTTGCACTTTAATGACTATTTAGTAATTATTTGGTAAAAGGGTGGGAATACTGAATTTTCATAAGATTTCAAGTTAAAATTTACCTAGCAAAAAATGAAAACTTTTCTAATCTGAAGATATCACATGATTCTGCACATAGAACTACATCATTAATACCATGGGCCGATTTTTCAAACTCAAAAAAAAAAATTCGCCTCCGTATGACACACCCTATTACAGTAAGTCTTCCATAAACTATGGAATTCCGAAAACTTCAGCATTGTAATACTGTTCACTTTATTTCAGACATAAAGGTGAGAGTGGACGGATGTAAGAAAGGACCGTTATGGTAACATCAGGAGGCCATCCCACACAAACATCTCCCACCACAACTTAGTATTAAAGCTCTATAAAACAAGAGGCAGAACAATTCCTCACAGCTGTGCAATAAGTCAGTACAGTATGAGGATTAAAGAACATTTTTCCGAGAACATTGTAACCATAATTAAGGTAAATGTCAACTCTCCAATTGTTAAACAATATGAAAGTCAAGTTGGTGTTCTAGGAAACAGTGAGAATAAAAACAAGATTCACACAAGTGAATCTCTCCTGAAAATATCATTTAAGTGGTTCATTGTGTTATATATTGTCTAAATACAGGATGAAGAGTGTTGCAATGTTCAAACTAAACTATTACCTTGTGACTTGCACTTGTGTACACTGCTAATAAATGTTCCAATATATAAATGTGACAAGTGTTTGCTGTGCTTGTGTACTGTTGAGACAAAGTTCACTTGTGGTAAATGTTTCTCATACAAGAGTAGCTCAAGAACCACATACATATGCAGAATTATTAATGCAAGTTTAGTTGTGAAAAGTGGATAACCTTTGTATGCGGTGCTAAAGTTACCCAAATGTGTGTACACTGATGGATATATTTTCTTGTATGGAGTGTTGTAAAGTGTGTAAAAGATGGCCCAGTTTATGAATCAAATAGCAGGACCTAGTGGGCCAAATAATTATCAGTGTGGGGAAGTTTTTGGCAGTAATGATGCTTTGAAAATGCATACATGTACAGATGAACACATAGATGATAAGATAAGTATTAAGTGTGAAGAGTTTGAAGAAAGCTTTAACAGTGATTATGATGAGACACGTCATGTGACTGCTGATGAGACAGTCATTAAGTGTGAAGAGTTTAATGAATGCTTTAGCAGTGACTATGATGGGACACATCATGTGACTGCTGATGTGACAGACATTAAGTGTGAAGAGTTTAATGAAAGCTTTAACAGTGACTATGATGGGACACATCATGTGACTGCTGATGTGACAGACATTAAGTGTGAAGAGTTTAATGAAAGCTTTAACAGTGACTATGATGGGACACATCATGTGACTGCTGATGTGACAGACATTAAGTATGAAGAGTTTAATGAAAGCTTTAACAGTGACTATGATGGGACACATCATGTGACTGCTGATGAGACGGTCATTAAGTGTGAAGAGTTTAATGGAAGCTTAAACAGTGACTATGATGGGACACATCATGTGACTGCTGATGTGACAGACATTAAGTGTGAAGAGTTTAATGAAAGCTTTAACAGTGACTATGATGGGACACATCATGTGACTGCTGATTTGAAAGATATTAAGTGTGAAGAGTTTGATGAAAGCTTTAACAGTGACTATGATGGGACACAACATGTGACTGTTGATGAGAAAGATCTTAGTGAAGACAGTGATAAAAGTTATTACAGAGAAGACAAACTGAAGCAGCATATGGTTGTACACACTGGTGAGAAGAATTTTAAGTGTGAAGAGTGTGGTAAAAGTTATTACAGAGAAGGCAAACTGAAGCAGCATATGGTTGTACACACTGGTGAGAAGAATTTTAAGTGTGAAGAGTGTGGTAAAAGTTATTACAGAAAAAGTGATCTGAAGAATCATAAGATTGTACACACTGGTGAGAAGAATTTCAAGTGTGAAGAGTGTGGTAAAAGTTATTTCAGAAATTGTGAACTGGTTTATCATATGCGTGTACACACTGGTGAGAAGAATTTTAAGTGTGAAGAGTGTGGTAAAAGATATTACAGAAGTTGGGATCTGTATGATCATATGGTTGTACACACTGGTGAGAAGAATTTTATGTGTGGAGAGTGTGGTAAGAGTTATTACAGAAGATATGAACTGCAGGATCATATGCGTGTACACACTGGTGAGAAGAATTTTACGTGTGGAGAGTGTGGTAAAAGTTTTTACAAAAATTATGATCTGCGGAAGCATATAGTTGTACACACTGGTGAGAAGAATTTTAAGTGTGATGAGTGTGGCAAAAGTTATTTCAGACTTACTGAATTGAAGAATCATATAGTTGTACACACTGGTGAGAAGAATTTTAAGTGTGATGAGTGTGACAAAAGTTTTTACAGAAAAAGTGAACTGAAAGTACATATGGTTACACACACTACTGAGAAGAATTTTAAGTGTGATGAGTGTGGCAAAAGTTTTTACAGAAAAAGTGAACTGAAAAGTCATATGGTTACACACACTACTGAGAAGAATTTTAAGTGTGATGAGTGTGACAAAAGTTATTCCAGACTTACTGAATTGAAGAAGCATATAGTTGCACACACTCGTCAGTATTTTAAGTGTGAAGAGTGTGGTAAAAGTTATTCTACAAAACCCATTCTGAAGAGGCATATGGCTAGACACACTACTGAGAAGAATTTTAAGTGTGAAGAGTGTGGTAAAAGTTATTATACAAAAGGTTATCTGAAAAGACATATGGTTAGACACACTACTGAGAAGAATTTTAAGTGTGAAGAGTGTGGTAAAAGTTATTATACAAAAGGTTTTCTGAAAAGACATATGGTTAGACACACTACTGAGAAGAATTTTAAGTGTGAAGAGTGTGGTAAAAGTTATTACAGAAAAGAACATCTGAAGAGGCACATATATAGCTGTGCACACTGGTAAAAAGAATCTTACATGAAAGTTTAAGGGAAAGATCTTATAGAAAAATTGACTGGAGAACTGTATGGTCTTGTGTGTTGGTAAGAATTATTCAAGTTCATATAATAGATTACTAATATCCAGAAAAGATGTTCTGGACATGGATAATTGGTTATCCACCTGGTAACACTTTAATGTGATGTTATGGTGGAGAATTATATGAGTACTGTATGTTATCTTCACCAATGTCACACCTGGTACTAAAGTGAAGGCTGGTCACTGCACTATGTCCTCACTCTTGGTTCAGTTAGATATAGATATTCCTGTTAGGTTCACTAGGAGTCACAAATAATATGTTTGGGTGTTTATCTTATTGTTAATGTTCCAAGTAAACACTTGGCACCTTTTCCATTTATTATAAAAATATATAGTTTTAGCATATCACAATCTGTTGGGTTTATTTATGAATTAACCAACACAGGGTTCTGAGAGAATTATCGGGCTCAGGGCTAGAGCCGGCAGTCACACGTCTAGGCAGGGTGCTGTACAGTCTTGATCTCTGTACCAGCCATTAACTTGCCTACTTAGTTGACAGGTTTACTGGGCCGTGGAGGTGACCTGAATGTCTTCTGCAATGTGACCGGATATGATGTGTTTGATCTATGCATTCCTGTGTGGAACATAACTAGACATAATGGGGATTAGCCCACCCGGGCACAGGTAACTGACTCACATTGGGGCCTGGGTAGCAAAAATGTAATAATAATAATAATTCATAGTAAATATAATTTATAATAAAGAAATAAAAAATGAATATAAAGTAACAATAATAACACCTTAATAATAATAAAGAACCATAAAGAAATACAAAAATGACAAAAGATCAAAAATGAGAAACACTATACTTTACCCCTTGTATGTATATTGTGTAGTCAAAAGTAAGAAAAACAATTGAGACCCTGCAATTGTGTGTAAATGAGGCAAAGTCAGATGAGCAACCTGGGAATTGGTCACAATTTTTGTGATGCCATATGGCAGCAGGATCTACCCTTAGACAACTCGTACATACTATAATATATATACAGTCGGCCCTTAACATTCGCGGGGGTTAGGTAACGGAGATACCCATGAATGTTACAAATCCGTGTACTATTGCTGCCCCCCCCCCCCTAAAAAATCCCTGGCCCCCCCATGTCCTTATTTACCGTATATACCTGTGTGTAGTTCGAGTTTTTAAGACCAAATTAATTGGCAAAAATTGGGGGTGGTCCTCTAAACGGGTAATAGTTTCATTAGGTTGAAAAATATTTACCAGTAACTACCAGTAAACAATGGAAACGATGCACCAACACACCACCAGCTGTGAGTGTCGGTACAGTTGCCAGGGCAGATCTCATGCGAGCCCAAAGTAGCCAAATCCATGGTATGGTAGCACAGGACGATTTAAAACAAAGTATTCATTTATTAAAGTTAATTTATAGATACTGGACATAAATTTTTGTTCATTACATTTGAAACATCAATCTTTGTTAATTAAATTTGAAACGTGAAAACTACGATACTGGATTTTCATTAAAATATTACATCACAAGTATATTTTACCTTAACTGTGACTGAATGAATATATTCTCGGAAATAAATATGGAAATGTAATATTTTTGCTGGAATGACGTACATATTATAGTGGGAAGTGGGATAAAATCATGACGAAAGACTTTCGCTTTTTTTCGTTGTTCAAAATATTTTACCGTAATTGCTTTTCGAATGGTTTTCAGTTAAAAAACTGTTATACTCGTACTGTATTACAATAATATTCTATCTTATCATTAGCCTTATAATCCCACAACTGAAAACCATTCGAAAAGCGATTACGGTAACATCTTTTGAACGAAAGAAAGCGAAAGTCATTGCTTTCGTCACTTTCCACTGTAATACTTACATCATTTCAGCAAAAATATTACATTTCCATGTTCTCAGAAATAAATGGTAGTTTTGTTGAAACATAATGTACAGTATTTAATATTAAAATGCAAAAATAGCTATGAAAACAATTAATACACCCGTAATGTACTGGCTGGCATCTCCACTCGTCCCTGCTCCCGCCAGTCACCTCCTCCCCGCTCTATCCCTCCGCCTCCTCCCCGCTCTATCCCTCCGCCTCCTCCACATCGTCACTACTGTTGCATTACAATAATATTCTATCCTAAATGACTTGAATAAATACTACGATACCACATTTCTGAATATTTTCATTAAAATCCATCCAAATCATTTTCCTTGCCATCGTCTGCAGCACCAAACAGCTTCTCCCAGTCCTCTCCTTGAACAGGGCTAGAGGGTACGTGTTTTTCGAATCGTTTTCAATTAAAAAAATGTTATATCACACGTATATTTTACCTAAACTGCGCCTGAATGAATATATTCTTGGAAATAAATAGTAATTTTGCTGAAACGTGATGTATTTCAATGTAAAATAGGATAAAATACATGACGAAAACAAAAGACTTCACCTAACCTTCCAATGTTCAGGAGATGTTATTCGTTTTTTTAATAGTTTTCGGTTAAAATACTGTTATATTAAAATGATATTATATTCATACTGTGCTTGATATACTACATTCACAGAAATGAAATATTTTTGCTGAAATGACGTAAGTATTACAGTGGAATGTGCGACAAAATCGTGATGAAAACAATGACTTTCGCTTTCTTTTGTTCAAAAGATGTTACCGTAATCGCATTTCGAATGGTTTTCAGTTAAAAAACTGTTGCATCACAACAGTTTTTTAACTGAAAACCATTCGAAAAGCGATTACGGTAACATCTTTTTAGCGAAAGAAAGCGAGTCATTGCTTTCGTCACTTTCCACTGTAATACGTACGTCATTTTAGCAAAATATTACATTTACTTATTCTCAGAAATAAATAGTACTTTTGCTGAAACGTGATGTATTTCAATGTAAATTAGGATAACATACTTGACGAAAACAAGAGACCTATCCTTCCGATGTTCAAGAGATGTTACTCTTTTTTTTAGTAGTTTTCGGTTAAAATACTCTTATATTAGTGATATTCTATTCATACTGTGCTTGATATAATACATTCACGGAAATGTAATATTTTTGCAACTACAATGCTGATGTCAACACAAGTGTGGTTACAGCGAGACTGACTGAGTGAGGGAGAGCTATGCATGTGTGTGTGAGGTTGCGGGAGCGGGCGGTGTCCCGTGTTCGGTGCCGCGTGCGAGTTGAATGGCGCGCGATTTGAATGTACTGTACTTCAATTACTGGAATGTACAGAATATTCCTCTGGCGGGGCAATCCGCATATTTGCGAATCCGTGAATGCTAAACCCGCGTATGTGAAGGGCCGACTGTGTGTGTGTATATACAGTATATATATATATATATATATATATATATATATATATATATATATATATATATATATATATATATATATATATATATATATATATATATATATATATATATATATATACAGTGGGGTATGCTATAACGAACGTAATTGGTTCCAGAACCTCGTTCGTTATAGCATTCGTTCGTTATAGGATTAATCCGTTCCAGGCCCCCAAATACAACCACTTAACACTGAAAAAATTCTGTGGAAAATGTAAAAAATACGGTACTTTATCTTACCTTAGTGTTATTCAGCATGCAGGTACCCCTAAACACTGGCACATCACTATCACTTCCACTGGGAGTCTTGGCTTTAAGGTCCTCAAACAATTGTTTAGCCTTCTCACAAATTATAGCTTCACTAATGTTACCACTTGCCATTTCTTTCTCCTTTATCCACACTAAGAGTAAATTTTCCATCTCTTCAATCACATTACACTTTGCTTTGCTAAGTCTAAAGATTCCCTTAGCCACTTGCACAGTTTTTAACTCCTCTTTATTCTTCAAAATCGTACATATAGTCGATTTAGCCATCCCATATTCATCACTAAGTTTCGCAATGCTTCTTCCATTCTTACGTTTCTTTACAATTTCTTAATAGTTTCAAGGGTTATTAGCTTTCTCACTCGCTTTGGACGACTCATTGTTACAATTGTATACTTGTATAACAAAATAGTTATACAAATAACTCGAATTTCCACATCAAAAGATGAAATTTCAACAATAACAGTGGTGCACTGGCTACACAATGAGACAAAGATGGCGCCTGACGCTCTTGTTGTGGGTCGCGGTACAACAATATTCATGCGCCAGGCGAAATAGTCCCGTATTCATCCGCGTTCGTTGTAGGAGTTGCGTTCGTTATAGCATTCTCAATTTTATAGGTAAAACCGTTCGTTATAGGAATATTTGTAGTAGGATCCGTTCGTTATAGCATACCCCACTGTATGTGTATATATATATATATATATATATATATATATATATATATATATATATATATATATATATATATATATATATATATATATATATATACACAGTTGTACCCCACTTAACGCGGTCAATTGAACCCAGAGGGTCCCGCGTTAAGTGAATAACAGAACATATGGGATTAATTCCAATAGAACCCAGCCCGACCCCCAAACTCCACTTTTTGACGACAAATAACTATGTTGTAGTAAAAATTCTATCTTAACTTTATGGTGGCATGAAAAACAAGTAATATAGAAGAGGTTAGGTTAGGAAAGATAAAGGTTAACATAGGAAAAATAAGGAATAGGTTAAAAAACGAAAATTTTTGAGGAACACTCACGGTAGTAGAAGAGATGGGTCGGCATACGGGGATGGAGGCTGGTTCCGAGGCAGAGGGCAGATTACTGCCCCTCAGGTGAATCACCATTACTAGGTGAATCACCATTACTAGGTGAATCAATATCACTGTCACTTACAGTTGTCATGGCTTCCCTGACAAATCCCTCAAAATCAACTTCACTATCACTATCACTGGCTTGGGCTGGCTGTGGTGGGTTGCGGTAAGGAAAGGTTTCTCTCTGGGGGTGGTGGTCCGGCGGAAGCCATTTTACGGAACAATGGATGCGCGTTAACCCGGCGTGGCCTTGAGGGATGAAACTGCCGCGGCTAGGTCAAGCGTCGTCTCTCCTCCCTCCCTCCCTCCCCGGGGTAGTCACGTCATAATACTTTAAGCCAATTACAGCTAGCAGCAGAGGGGGGTAGGGCTGCATGGCCAATCACAGTCCGAGACGTCATATGACGTCAGTGATAACGCAACAAAGACACACACTGCGCAACCTTACCGCGCCGCTTACCCAAGCGGAGGGAGGAGGAGGGAGAGGCAGGCAGGCAGGAGGGCGGGTGGGTGGCGCGTGGCGCGTGGTCAAAATCTAAAAATAGCATCCGAGCCGGACACTCACCGCGTTGCTGTGGAAAAACCCGCGTTAAGTGAAAGTTCAGCTTTGGCAAGGCACCGCGTATATGATAAAACGCGTTAAGTGAAAGCGCGTTAAGCGGGGTAATACTGTATATGATAAAACGCGTTAAGTGAAACCGCGTTAGGCGGGGTAATACTGTATGTATGTATGTATGTATATATATATATATATATATATATATATATATATATATATATATATATATATATATATATATATATATATATATATATATATATATATATTATAACCCTGCTTTACGCGGTCAATTGAACCCACGGAGGTCAGCGTAAAGCGGGAAACGCGTAAATGGAAC